TATTTCGAAATTGAAGGACGCTAATTTACTCAAAATTGATACACCTCGGCTTACCATCTAGCGGAAGGTTTCGGAAGGGTGAAAAAACATATATTTAATACTTGCGCCGGGTATTTAATGTTCGGCTCCGCCCGAACTTAGACTTTCTTACTTGTTTAGGTGTATTTTTTTCGCTCGCGCACAAGTTCGTCGTGTGTGGCCACTGTAAGCATCAGCCATACCTTCCTAATAGTACTTTTGTAACTGCGACTTAAATCATTATCTAATCGCTACTAGAAGACATTGAGGCGAAACAGTAAACAATCGATCTGTAGAAGTTGACAATACTAGACTCAGCGGGTCGGCTTTGGATTAGGGTATTAGCCCAATTTCGACTGTGAAAATAGATGGCTTGTGCTAGGTGGTAATTGCAGATAGATATATCTACATATGTATGTATGTTAATGGCTTACAATACAGGTTGCTTAAATCACCCAGGTGGAAGATTTGCGGTAGGATTTATCCGCTTAAGTGGCTAAGGTATATCCTTGTAGGCCGAGGTGGTATTGCCCCGCCAGTCCTTTATTATATGTACATAGATGTGTATGTGCATAGATATTTCCAAATCTACTAAGTTTACTTATTTTTAATGATTTTATAAAATTTATGTCAGTATTTCATTTTCTTTTAGAACACGTTTAATTCGTTAATTCTCTTATTTAGGTTATATACCTCTCCGCTCAACATTTTCCCACACCCGCGTAAATTGGCAATTTCGTTTAATATATTCATCTTTCTCGATCATTCAACGTTTTGCTCGTATTTTCATTTCCGCGTTCCGAAGTTGTCAATTTCCGTTCGACTACACACAGTAGAAGACGCCCCTGCAGCCGTTTGCTAAAAGCTAGCTTGCCAGGACACGAACGCATACCTAAAGCTTATTTTCTTTCACTCATCTACACTTCGTCATCCTTTTAATAGTCGCTTATCAGCGTGGCTGATTGAAATTTAATTCAATGTCTGTGATTTTTACTTTCGCCGTAAGCAGTCTGATTTGATCACCCTCCTTACACAGATATCATCCGTACATACATAAATATGTATGTGCATATCTACTCCCTTTCACCCATCTCATTATCTCATTTACAATGCTAACAAAGTGGCGTATATATGTATTTCGGTATCTCATACTGTTGTATGAATTTTTTGTCTGTGCGCCCGCGCCTTCTTTTGCATAATAATTACTCAACTCGAATCATTTTTGGATTGTTTGTGCCAAAAACAGAAACAAAAGCAAAAGTAAGCGAGAAACTAATGACACAGTGTGGTGGGCGGTTGGCGGGTGGCGACGTCAGAACAAGAAACAATGTCAAAAATGAAAGCAGCACATAAAAACAAAAACAAACAAAAAATTCCTACAATAGAACAACAGCTTTGTTCGCAATCAAAGTAGTCGACAAGTAGTGAATGTGAATCTGGCCATAAAACGGGTCCTTAAATTTAAGAAACTTTATATTTGTTATCGAAAAGATTTAAAATTTAAAAGGAAATGAATACCATTATAGAGCTTTCGTCACCCAGCATCTCTTCCCATGCACTTGTAGCGCCCGACGAACCTGACACTGAAAGCACTATGGACTGTGCGCATCGATGCCGTCCGCTTTCTCGGTTTGAGGCTTGCCGACAAAGCAACAACAAAGCTAAAAATGCCTTTTCGTTCGAAGACCAAAGGAAAAACTACGATTCTTTGAGAGAATATTCTGTTTGTTAAGCAACGTTGGAGTTGTGCAAAAGTCCAATAAAAACATTTATTTGTTTAATCTACATATCCAGTATGTTTTAGATCACTGCAATTTTTCCACACGCAACTGCACATCCTAGGCCAACGTGAAATTTACAAAAATTTTATAAATAAAATTTAATTGTTTAGTATTCTTGTTTGTGTTTCCCTTCCTTTTGGCCAATATTTTCCCTTCACCTTTGCTCTATTTGCATCTTGTACACAAGTAGTCTATTGTTTCGACTTTTTTCAAAACTTTGTTAGTTTTTTTTATTGCTTTTTACATTTTTTATAATTTTCCGCTTTCATGAGCTTTTGGCGCTGAATTTTAGTGCACGTTTTCTGACTGTTTATGTCTAAATTTGTTGTTATTTTTTTCATGGTTCATGAATTTTTTGATTTCTTGTCTTTACTTGGTGGCCGCCAAGTTAATTATGAGCGCTTAAATGCTGCCATCATCGGAAAACTTTACTTGCTGACGGTTTAACGCAAATACTTTGTGTACATATGTATGTGTGAATATTTGTTCGTTAAGTTGTAGGCGTTTGCTGCGCAGGAGTGCGGGTGGTGGGCGGCGCGTCGTCATACAAACATACATACATATTTGCATAGACAAAATCAATTTAGATTTCTAATGTGTTAGACTTGCTTTCATTTCGGTATGTGGTTAGAAGTTTTCCTTTACTCCTTGTTGGGAAAGTTTTCAGACTCTCATGATTAAGTTGTTAATTTGTGTACTTACAGAATGAAGTCTAATAATAAATGCTTGCCTTGTTTGAATCTTTTTATGGCAAGGAAACAATAAAAAATTAGTTAACACCTCTAATTAAATTATTGTTGTTTTTTGTGTAAAATAATTGCAAAATACAATCTACCTATGTATAAAAAGTACGGTGACTCGCGTTGTTTAACCGCCTTTTCACCAAATTAAATTTTTTAAATAAACTTACGTAATTAATAATTATATTTTAAGAAAATTTAAAACTGAAACTTGTTCTTAAATCCATGGAAAATAAAAATAAGCAAAGGGACTGTAACCCGAGACCAAGGCCAAGATGGACTAGCATTCTGATGCTGATTCCATGCCAATGGAATATCTAACTCTAAACTGTGTGCAAAACTCGGGAAAATTCAATAACTTTGCAGACTACATACATAATTTAAAATTCTAAGTATGCAGTTCTATAGCCCATTCAATTTTAGTATAACAAAGGCAAGTTTGAAGTTGCTAAAAAATCATGGTTATTTTTGGCAATTTTTTTCACACAGCTTCTTCCCTATAAAGCAAAAAACAAATTGCCACAAATCAACTACGTTTTTTCCACCTCAAACTTGCACTTTGTTATACTAAAATTGAATGGGATATAAAACTGCATACTTAGAATCTGATTTGGAAGCTGCAAATTTATTGTGTTTTCCTGAGTTTTGCACACAGTTTTATGTATATGAACTATATTTTCATACAAAATTTGCGAAAAGAAATTAGAGTAAAAAACTGCATGCATTGCGAAAAATTTGTGTGCCAATACTTTTGTCTGGCACTGTTTATGGCAATAATTGCGTTATACTAGTTTTTAATAGTCATTCCTCATTTTTACAGACGTTCGATAGCGCCATTTCGAGATCAAACATCGAAACGCAGAAAACAGGGGTTCACACTAGGAGATGTCACCTCCTCTACTGTATTATTTCTTTGTATCAAAGCTGCCTCAATTAACAGAGAGAGTTTCACTGACCCCCTAAACTCGAAATTGGTATTTACTTATAGAAATTGCGACAGTTTGAAACTCGATATTTAAATACTGATACTTAATAAGGTGTATTCGAGCTTCTATAAATGAGGCTTTCAAATGCCGTGATCTTAAAATTAAATTTCGTGTCGATTCGCGCCCCGGTTCTTGATGAAAAATTGTGTGACTCTGCCTGCAGCACGCGTTCGAGGAACAAAGTTTTTGAAATCCAAAGGTTTAGATTTGCAATTGAGCATCCAAAAAGTAACAAGATATATTTAGATGTATCAATTCTATTTTTGAAAAATTCCGATCAACTTTCAACAAATTTTTAGTTTCTTGCCATTGAAACGACAATTTGCATGCATTTTATCCTAATCTGCAAAAGATCTAATTTATTTACTTTTTGATTTTGCAGCGATAGACAGCAGCAAATTGAAATTTGAATCGACGAGAAGACGAATTGTAAGCGAAAGCACCGTATGGCAGTTTTTCAAAAAGAAGTAAAAAAATAGGAGGAGAAACAAAAACGAAAAGTGAAAAATAAATTTTAGAAGAAAGCACAAGTGAGCCAAGGAGAGGAGAGAAGTATCTAAATAGACAAACGACTGCCTACCAAAAATTCGTGCGCGCGCCGTACACAGCAAAAACGCTTTGCATAGCCGACGCGTGCGTCCATAAGTAGCTGCTGCTTGTTTTGGTCACAGAAGGTGAAGAGCACAACTCTGACACTTGTCAGTTGCATTGGAATTTCGCGCAACGAACTGACAGCAGCGTCCGTCAGCAGCCTCACTAACAGCCATCGTCGCTGCAGAGAAAATGACGTTTCATCAGCGGTCAATAGGCGCAACAGCTATTGGAACATTTCGAGTAACATATTTGTAAACTCAACTATAAATAGACGACGACGACGGCGACGCAAACAACAGCAACTACAAAAACGTTTACAATTCGCCAAATACGCAACACGAGCAGTTGGTTTTTGTGTACGAATTCGAAAATTGTATAAATTGCAAGGAGTACGGAGCAAAAAAATAAAAAAACTAAGCTTTTTGAAGAAAAAATAGAGGGGCGAGACAGTGAAAAGTAGCGCGCGTCATTGCACGCAATAGAATCCAGTGCAGTGTCAGCCAGCAGAAAGGCAGTTGGGTGAGAGCAGTCATCAGTAGATAGGCTCCGTCACACTCCCAAAGCATTATCCACTCAAAAAACTGGCGATACAAATTGCCTTGCTTTTGCTGTGCGAGTGTGCCTGTGGCACAGCGTGTTGTTGGTAATGCAGATGCAGCCATAAATTCGCTTATAAAGTAACTTAACTCAAATATAGTACAGAAATTTGAAAAAGAATTTGAATTGAATACCAGCAGTAGCAGCAGCAGAAGTTTATAAATTTTGAATTTTTACGGCTAAGACAAGATGAAGCGACGCAATGCCGATTGTGGCAAACTACGGCGACCAATAAAGCGTAATAAAATTACAGAGGGCATGTATGGCAGGTGAGTAGATGCTGTTTGTTTAAACCTGTGTACTGAAATTGGGTTAAAATTGAAACTTTTCTTTTGTTATCGAAATTAGAATAGATTTGAATAGTTTATCTGTAAATTTTGAAAGGTCTGCTAGTGTTTTTATTTTTAAACATCTTACGTACTAGAATTTCGGGAAATCGCAATAAAAAAATCTTTATATTTTTAGAAGACCATCTGATACCTATGCATAAGTCGGCTTCCTAACTTTACTGAAATATATACCTAGAAGACAGTGGCAATTCGCTTTGTTCCCTTTTATTAGATGGGTCACAGTAAAGAACTGAATATATCTTTTTCGCAATTACTTGCATCTCTAAACTGCTTCTATCGATCGGTAGGGTTTGAATATTGTAGGAGATTAAACTCTTACTTTTCTAGACTGGATCCCGACGTAGCTATCCTCTTCATATACCAACTCAACTAAAACCCCTTTTCCCCTTCCCCCCGAAACCCCCCCGACCCCGTCGAAACAGCACCTTTCCTTTGCCTATCGTTAGTTGAGCTTGACGACAACGGGCATAGTTAAGTAGGCCACTGCAACAAGAGAAACAACCTCTTAGCCGCCGTAAAAATGGAAAGACCGGAAAACATTGGAAAAAATGGAAATCTTCCCAATCACACCGGCCATCTTTTACCCATGAGTGAACTCTTTAAGAGCAACCCTCTATGACTTTATAAACTCTTAGGACTTACTTATCTCCATTTTAGTGCAAGCCCGATGAACTTTTCGCTTCTAATAGGCCTTTGCTAAGAAAAGATATCACACTTGAGAACAAAAAATTTAGGTACCGAAAATTTAAAATTGCGTTCCTTTACTCCCGTTCGAGCTCTTTTATTTCGATCTAATCATTAATCAAGCAAAACCATATACAATTTGAAAATCCGTCAGCTGTATGCAGGCATCGTACAAAAAAAATACCCACACGCTTGTACGCACAAATGCAAACGCTTAACACAAACAAGCGCATTGTTGGTTAGCTTCTTGTTTACATTCTATTTATTCTTTTTTTAATTTCTTTGTTTATCTACGCTATACGCATATTTGTTGTTATAATACATTTTATTTTTATTTTATTTGTTTGAGTACTTGGCGTATTGCAAACAAATTGAACATGCCCATATAGTTGGTACATGTATATGTGTGTGTGTGTGTGTTGGTATGTACGCTTCTGGCGACGAGCGCTTAATTGAATTTGATTTATTTAGCGCAGCGCAATCCAATGATCGCGCCTCCAGCTGACCGATAGCCGCTACTAGATGCTACCATACCCATACGATTCTATTTAGATTTNCATAAGCGACACTCGCAATAGCATCGTTAATCGATAATCGCTTAATAGTCGTTTATCTACTGCCAGTCGACATTCGCAATAGGGGTGTATTATGTTTGTTGTTTCTTAGTCGCTTTTATAGCGGTATTTGACAATAATGATTACCATTACCCTCATCTTGCGAACTCGCGTGGACGTATTTGGTTGCTGTTTGACGTTTAAACAAATTGGATTACAGCTTGTAAATAATATGATGCGATTAAAAACACCTAATTGTTAATCAAATATAATTTTTGCCAGAGCTGAGGGAATTTTTAATAAAAAAATATCGTACAGAAAATTATTTATCTAATGTATACGTTATAATATGTATGTAATTA